TTTTTTCTTGTTTCTTGAGGTAGGCCTGTAATGCTATGAATCTTCCCCTTAGCACTGCTTTTACAGTGTCCCATAGGTTTTGGGTTGTTGTGTTTTCATTTTCATTCATTTCTATGCATATTTTGATTTCTTTTTTGATTTCTTCTATGATTTGTTGGTTATTCAGAAGCGTGTTGTTTAGCCTCCATATGTTTGAATTTTTAATAATTTTTTTCCTGTAATTGAGATCTAATCTTACTGCACTGTGGTCAGAAAAGATGACTGGAATGATTTCAGTTTTTTTGAATATACCAAGACTAGATTTATGGCCCTGTTCAACACTATTAAATAATGGGTGTTGTAGCAGTTATGTCCCTTAGAAATATAATATGAACAACATATATAATTTAAAATTTCTGTTGTGTCACATTTAAAATGCAAAAAGCAGGTGAAATTAATTTTAATGATATATTTTGCTTATGCCAGTATATCCAGAATATTGTTTGAACATGCAATCAATTAAAAAATGATTGAGATATTTTATGTTCTTTTTTTTCATACTATGTCTTTGGAATTCACTCTGTCTTTTGTACTTATGGCACATCTTGGTTCAGATCAGCTGCATTTCAGGTGCCCTATAGCCACATGTGACTCAGCGCTACCTTATTGGACAGTACAGGCCTATAGCTTCAAACTGTTTTTTATTTCCTGATCAGTTTCCACCATTGTCTGAATAGCTAAAGACAAGGAAGAATGCAGGGTTGGGGATATAGTTTCTAGTACTCAACTGTACCTAAAGAAGGGCCTATCTCTGTCCTAACTATTAATAGGTAAATCAGCTTCTAGTGGCATTTTCTTCTTTCGGATTCCTGTTGCTTTCTTTCTGCCATCTTTTTTTCTGCACCCTTACTTTTGAAGATGTAAATGTATTTCATAAATATATGATTGCCTTTATTAGCATTAGGTTATTGATAGAAATGGGAGATAACTTTGAGAAAGAAATCAAATTCTAATGGAAAAATTTTGACACAGATAGGAGTTAAATATGGTGAATTTGCAGGAGGGAAATGAGACAGGCTTGTTTCGAACAGATGGTGTATATATGACAGCATAAAGATTTTTGAAAATTCAGCTTATTGTACTGTTGGCTATTTTTTTCCCCTTTCCTTTGGTTTTTGCTTTTGCTTTCTTGGTTTAATTGCTTTTCTAAGCACTTGTTATTGACCTCAGTCACCGCTCAGTCTGGTATTAACTGCTTTCTTGGCTTGAGGTAGACTCAATAGTGAGACTTTGGCAGAGCTATAGTGAGACAGCTCTTCAGTTGAATTCAATCTGAATTGTTACATTTAATGGACAATTTTTTTCTTTTAAATATAGCTTAACTATTTATTAAACCTTGTGACTCCTTGTAGGTTAAGAAGCAGAATTTGGCCAGTTACTGTGGAAGCCTGTCTGTGTGTCCCATTCAAACTGGAGCCCGCTCCTTGTCTCCTAAAATAGCCACTCTTGTTTTATAGAAGCCACTTCTTGGATTTGCCTTCCTAAATTCTACATTTTATCTTGCCCATTTAAAAAAATTGATAGCTTTTGTTTGCAGTTTATCTGTTGAAGACTCTAGACCCTTTGACCTGTAGGAGTTTTCCATAGTGTAGGTTTTATCGATTGCACACTGGTACAATTCAGCATGTTCCTCTGTCTCTGCTTTTCCTACATATTGGCAGCTGGTCCAGAGACTGAGTCAGATTTAGGTTTGATCCTTTTGGCAAGACTTTAGGCGGTGTTGTGTTCTTTTATTAGGAGGCAATGTCTGGTTTTTGCTCGTCATTGGTATTAGCGACTTTTTTTTTGGCTGCAGGATGTTAGTCCCCTAACCAGGGATTAAATTTGGATCACAACACTGAAAGTTGCTGAGTGCTAACCACTAGACCACCAAGGAACTCCCAGATATTACCAACTGTTGATGCAGTACCTAGATCCATTTGCAAAATTATGATATTTTATCATTTTTTTTTACTTTTTATCAGAAATAATTATATAAGGAAACACTTCATCAGTTATTTGGTTACCCAGTGCTACAATTCAAATAGGATAAATAAAGGATTGATTATTTTCTTTTACTTACTCAATGTTCATAATAATGGACTTAAAACAACACTCATTTATATATATAAATGTCTGTATATACCCAAAAGAATTGAAAGCACAGCCTTGACTGGATATTTGTATACATAGGTGCTGTTTGCAAAAGCATTACAATAATCTAGACATGGAAGCAGCCCTAGTGTCCATTTGATGGATGAATGGATAAACAAATGTGAAATATCCATAACAATGGAATAGTGTTTAGTCTTAAAAAGAAAGGAAATTCTGACACATGCTACAACATGGATGAACTTTAAGGGCATTTGCTACATGAATTAAGTGAGTCACAAAGTGACAAATACTGTTTGATTCTACTTATATGAGGTACCTAGAGTTGTCAAATTCATGGAAACAGAGAATAGAATGGTGGTTTACAGGGGTTG